GTACATACAATTTGCCGAGCCATTTCACAAATAAGCTTCATGCAGGCGTTTCCAATCTGCAATAAATACTCTGATAAGTCAATGTTTTTAATAAAAAAAAAAAGTTCTAATAAAAACAGACTGTTTACATGGGAGTCCATGTCCCTTAGCAATCCAAGACTCCAAAATTCTTCTCGAATAAGGCACACTTGGCCCTCCTTCACAAATATTTCACTGCCAGGCCGATTTCGCTCCAGCACATAATCAAGCTGTAATAATAAAAATATTAACAATAAATATGTGTGTGTGTGTTTGTGTGTGTGTGTAATGGTAATGTTTTACCAGTTTTTCTTGTAATGGATGCCAGTCCCTCTCCCAAGGCTTAGTAGGTTCACAAGCAGATTTTTCTGTAATTGGTACTGATGACTGAGGAGATGTGACAGATGATATGCCTGGTGATGCAGCAGTCATTTGTGCAGCCACAATATTTTCTGGCAGTGCTGTCAGTGGTCCTAAAAGTACATTAAAGCATCAAAATTAGAAGAGAACACATAATAATTAAAGAACAGAAACTTGACACTTAGCAACTGGAACGAACAGTCAAATTAACAAGTGACAAGTCCATGACCTTCTCTGTGGACAACGGATTTTCTATAAATACAAATAAACACATAAGTACAGTTAAGGATATAGTGCTGTATTTGTTACACAGTAAAGAAAATATTACCTAAAACAACCTGGCTGGGGTCATTCATGTGAATGTTTTTGTTGAATTCCTTGTTTATGTCATGAAGACGTTTCTCATTTTTTCTGACATTGTAATGGTGGATGATGTTTCGCAGTAGGAAAACATGTGTGGATGGCAATGCCATGTTCATAAAGTAGTTATTTTTCTTTAGCTTTGAAAAAAGCTGTTCTGCAGCCGGACTGTTTACTTTGCCAGCTAGTTGAGGCACAAGACGAAGCTTCCTCAGTGAATCATGAGGATCTTTTGTGTTGTCTTCGTGAAAGCGGTCATACAGAACATAGTGTTCTGCAAAACCAGTTATTGGGTGATCATCTGGATCTGGACTTTGTTTTTTTGCAGTGAGCCATGGCAGAGTTCCCTGTAATTTTTCTGATTTTGCTTTTGCAATGTTTTCAGTGGTTGGTTCGAGTAACCTTCCCTCGAAAGGTGTGAAAGTTATGGGTTGCCTCAAATTTGTGTGCGTGGACAGTCCACGAGCAAAGTCATATATAACAACATTAGGCAGATGCTTCCAAGACAGAAGCATATCTGCAAAATCCCGTGGACTTTCTGCTTGCAGATTACATTTTATACTGTAGACTATGCCACAAGGACACATGATGACAGCCCAACCTCCTGAAACAGACAAACATACAACAAAGATAAGCAAATTGTTAAGAATGCATAATCAAATACCATTGATGATACAGAGCCTTAAATGACCATTTGTTATGATGGACAGCAGTGACGTGAACCTTAACAATGTAGACTGAAAAACTTTACAGATGCAGCATATCAGAGTAAGGGGCATTTCTGCTCTGACCTTCTCACTCACTTTTCCCCCACTTTGATGTTAGTGTTATAAGAATGTGTTCTTTATAAACTATGTTGTGCCCTGTCCTGACATATGGTCCCCTGGACTTCACCCCTCAGCTGTATGGATGTGTCTTCACCATGCCCCTAATATATCCAATCAAGTCAACTTTGGGAAAGCCCTCTAAAGTGATATTGGGCTATACAAATTAAAATTGAGTAATATAAGCAGTGTGCCCTACAGTACATCATATTTTATGTTACTTTTTATTCATATTTAATTTATATTCCTTTTATGGATTTATTTAGACAATGAGTACACCATGAATTATATCATAAATTATATCAAGCATTTGATACTGCACACTTGTTTACCTAATTTTGTTTAACACAAAGAGTAATGATTTAAACACTCTTTTTGGATGGAGCCACAAAGTGCATGTATGTAGTAACAGCAAAAGAGAACAAAGTATGAGGTACAGTGTTACCAGATTGTTGTTTTCCATAAAAGTAATCGTCCAAAATCGATATAAATGATGCAATATGCAATAAATATTACCTCTAATAATACAATTGTATTCATAACTGCATCAATATTAAAGCAAATCAAGTGTTTCTCAAAATTTTAAAGGCTAACATTACATTGTAACTACAATTATTTTCCACGCCTTAAAAGAAACAAAAAGGGCACACATAACAGAAATTCTGCCTGTCTGATCACATTTTATTTATTTATTTAACACAAAACTAACCAAAAACTCCTTAATCTACCACACACACACACACACACACATATATATATATATATATATACATATACATACATATAGTTGAAGTCAGAATTATTAGCCCCCTTTCATTGTTTTTCTCCTTTTTTAAAAATTTCCAAAATGATGTTTAACAGAGCAAGGAAATTTTTTACAGTATGTCTGATAATATTTTTTTCTTCTGAAGAAAAGTCTTATTGAAAAAAAAAAGTTTTAAGGTCAAAATTATTAGCCCCTTTAAATTATATATATTTTTTCGATTGTCTACAGAACAAACCATCGTTATACAATAACTTGCCTATTACCCTAACCTGCATAGTTAACTCTTTAAATGTAACTTTAAGTAGTATAGAAGTGTCCTACTGTATATTAGCTAGTGGAACGATTAGTACAAGTGAATGGGTGAACAGTTTTGGACACTGCTAGTTTTTTCTAATTATTATTCCGTCATAAACGAATTCGTTTATTGAATTAATCACATTATTTACTCAGTAAGACATGACGCCATTTCATTCAATTCAGCGTTACATTACTTGTGTATTTTGTAGTGTAAATGGAGTCTTAAAGTAGTGTATATCTAGTAATCTGATATGACATACTCTGTAAAATATCTTGTTTCATGAGTATAAAAGCGCTTTGCGGTAAAAACTGACATTTGAAGTGCAAAATAAAATGCGAAAACAACTCTTACCTGTGAATGTATTTAAATCGACCCTAATTAAAACAACGAATCTGTGGTTCACCAAACGACTAGTAATGATTCATCAAGCAGGAAATATTTACCAGTCAAACAAAGATTTCATGAAAAATCGTTTTATTTTGCCCCAAAAACACCCGCGAAGGACATAAACTCCTTACTATTGCATTTTTCAACTCAAAGAAAAACTGAGCAAATCTGACCAATCACGTATCTGTAGAAACGTTGGAACGCGTTCGAATTCTTGGCAGACACCCAGTACAATCCAACTTTCGCCATTGCTTTATTTGACGAGTAACTAGTGAGTTGTACAAAGTTTGCTTTGTATAATTAGCTTTTCTTATATTACGGTTTATTAAGGCTAATCCACCATGTTATTTACCGTACTCGGAGTAATTGCTCTCTTCCTGGGAGAAAGAAACAACAGTTCCACCGTCTCAGGTCAAGAAGAAAGATTCGACCGTCCGGAAGGATTGGTCACGGTATCCTCCGTGACTAACAGTGATGGTAAATATTGTTGCGTGTTATAAGAACATGTAGCTCATTTTGTATACTGGACACTGGGTAGGGCACCCTTATTTTACCTTACTGTAAATATAAATTACAAAATAAGGTTTTTGTTAATAATATAGGCCTAATGAGCACTAATAAAACAGGCCTGAAGAAAGCTATGGTGTAAACACAGGGGGTGTCAAACATATGACACACAAACATGTCTAATATGATGCCAACAGCAATATAAAATAAGTTTTTGTTTTGTGTCTAGTAAAAATCAAAAATCAAATAACCCCACCCTCCCCCTAGCAGATTATTTAGCTTGTTTTACAGAAAATTCAGTTCATTTTGACCAATTTGACATATTTCTGAAAACAAGACAATATTTTTACTAGTCAAGAAAATGCTTCTTGATTTAATGTTTTGATATTTGGACTAGAAACAAGACAAAAACTAAGTAAAGTGTTTTTGCTTTGCATAAAGTTTTTCAATTATGCATTCGTAATCAGTAAAGACAAAATAATTTTCTCTGCTTTAAGATAGAAGGGTTAGTTCACCCAAAAATGCAAATTCTGTAATTAATTATTCACCCTCACGTCACTCCACAAACCCTTGAGATCCTCTTTCATCTTCTGAATACAAATGAAGATGTTTTAGATGAACTCTGAGCGCTCTCTCCTCCTGTATATACAGCAAGGTTCCTGACTTGCTCAAAGTACATAAAAATACCACAAAACATTCTCAAGCAGACCAAATGCCTACAGTGGTTTACTCTGTATATTATCAAGCTACGAGAATACTTGTGTATAAACAAATTAATCCAACAGAATTATTCTCTTCAGTGTTGGTATATTACATGCGTTCACAAACACTTTGCACTGATTAAACCCCTGAATGCCTGTGTATGGCTTCCTCTGTTTTTTGGAGGTTTTTGGTACTTTCTGGTCTCTGAATGGGTCTGGACCCTTCCTATCTATGGAGGAGCTCTCAGATTTCACCTAAAACATCTTTATTTGTGTTATGAATATGAACAGAAATAATGTCTACTGCCATACAAAATTAATAAATAAATATTACAACCCTCAATGTGATTTGAGTTTGACACCCCTGTTAGATCCCTTGTCTCTACTTGTAATTTGCTTGTAACTTGTAATTTTTTACCACTAAATCCTTTAGGAATATGTCCTAAAACACAATGCAGTGGTTTTAATGGACAACAAATGTTGATGTTTAATGTTTTAATGGTATTTATGGAGTAAAACATGAAATCTTTTCTCATAGGTTTTAGTTGTTTTTGCCAAGCTTACGGTTATTTTATTTATTGTTATATGATACAAAATATATCAGCTATAAAGTCATATTGACATGTATTTGTACAAAACAAATCATTAATTGCAAAGTGAATTTGATTATGAACAGTAATTTTTTGACATTTTTTATTTAATGACCAACAACTAATGTAGAAAGAAATAAACCTAAAAGTCACTTCATAATTGACAGCATTTGTTCATATCAATAATAAACACTGGATAAATATTATTCAAGTAAAACTAAAATCTGTTGTTTCGTATTATTCCTTCCTTTAGGTCGAGAAATCGGTGACTGGTGTAAAGAATCATCTTTGCATCTTGAGGAACAGATCAATGTTCAGATTGAGGAACCATCACTGAAGGAACCTGTTGATGGTCAGAGTGAAGAACAACCACCGGTAGAGCCCGACAGTGTTCCCGGTGAAGAACAACCACTGGTAGAGCCCGACAGTGTTCCCGGTGAAGAACAACCACTGGTAGAGCCCGACAGTGTTCCCGGTGAAGAACAACCACTGGTAGAGCCTGACAGTGTTCCCGGTGAAGAACAACCACTGGTAGAGCCCGACAGTGTTCCCGGTGAAGAACAACCACTGGTAGAGCCCGACAGTGTTCCCAGTGAAGAACAACCACTGGTAGAGCCCGACAGTGTTCCCGGTGAAGAACAACCACTGGTAGAGCCCGACAGTGTTCCCGGTGAAGAACAATCACTGGTAGAGCCCGACAGTGTTCCCAGTGAAGAACAATCACTGGTAGAGCCTGACAGTGTTCACGGTGATGATCAACCCCTAGTAGAGCCTGTGGATGGTCACAGTGAGGACACAGAGAGCTTCTCTGCTGAGCCCGGCTGTAGTCATGATGACCCTCCAAATGTGGTCTCTGCTGAGCCCGGCTGTAAAGATGACGTCGCTCAAGGTGCAACCTGTCAGACAGAGGGCTCTGTTCCACCTCAGCCAGAAGAGCTGAAGGATCAAGACACACACATTATTGGTAAGTTTACTACCATGACAGCCCAGTCACCCAACACACATGCATATTTTAGTAGTGCTGTCATTACTTTTATGCTTTAAACTGGCTTCAATACACATTTTGTTCAGGGATAGCTGATAACTAAGATGGAAATATATATAAAACTCAATCATAATCATATATATATAGGGAAGACAGAATAAAAAAGGTTTAGATGATGGGGTTAATTTTGCTGTGGTGACCCCTGATGGAGCAGGTAGTTTTACATGAAGACAGCACCGTCACTAATTCACACATTTTATTAACACTTACACCTGTCCTCAAGTCTTTACACTGGCTTCCAGTTACATTCATAATAGATTTTCAAGTATTATTACTTGTCTATAAATCACTAAATGGCCTAGGATCTCAATACATTACAGAAATGCTTACTGAATACAAACCTACTAGATTACTTAGATCTTATAAACTAGAAATTTAGACCTGGTGCAATGCAATCTGGGCTGCATCCAATGCTTTTTAATGGGCTCATGTAACCCCACCCCTAAACCCAACTGTCACAGTGATGTCACCAGCTCCATTTCAGTGCATTGTGTCTGACATTGCATCGCTGAGTGATGGAATCTCAGCTTGCATCATAAAGGCTGCAAGCAGATACTATTGCTTTTATTCCTGTTTATGTAAAGTACTTTGAATTGCCACTGTGTATGAAATGTGTTTTATAAATAAACTTGCCTTGTCTAACTTCTCTTCTTTGTCTTTTCACAGAGATCAACTCACATCACTATGAAATTGGTGCTGAGCTGGGCAAAGGAAGTTATGGAACCGTCTTCGCAGGAACCCGTTTAGAAGATGGCCTTCCGGTGGCTGTAAAAATAGCAGATTTCAAGATTGAGCGATACATCTTTGTTGTAAGTAGTCTGAGCTCTTTGCTCTGATTAATTGTGTCTATTTTAAACATGTCATATTAAAAGTGCTGTATGTAAGTTTTTGACTCTTCTAAAGCACAAAAATACCAAAATATGTTTGCAGATATTTTAGAAACATGCTAAGTAAACAAAAGTCAGTTATTTTCCTTTAAAAAATGTGTCTGTCTTTGTTTTGTTCTCTATAATCTGCCCACTGCTTTTAATGAAATACATCAACAGTTTTAACTGGAAATAACTTTTCAAATAATCTGAACAACTTTCTTTCTGTCTTTCTTCTAGCCGGGGTTTAACCATCCACTTCCAGCAGAGATTGCTCTGCACTTTCTTGCAACTAAAGGTCCCAAGGTCAAAGAACTCGTTCAGCTTCTGGACTGGAAGGTGGAGGATAACCGCTACTTTATGGTCCTAGAGCGGCCCATACCCTCTGTGAGCGTAACGGAATTTTTAAGAAGCCACAGAGGCAACATCGAAGAAGACGTGTTACAGAAAATCATGTTCCACACAACAATTGCAGCTGACACATGCATCAAACGTGGAGTGCTTCATCGCGATATTAAGCCTGACAACTTGCTGATGAACCCGCAGACCAATGAAGTTAAACTGATTGACTTCGGGTGCGGTGACCTCCTAATGAAGTACTATTACACAACTTATTTGGGTAAGTAAATCCCTCAAAGCTCCGAGGAGCTCTTGTGATGGGTCAAGGGTCATTCACATGAGACTCTTGAAACATCCGTTGTTGTTTATCTATACCAGGGGTGCCAAAGCACAGTCCTAGAGGGCCGGTGGCCTACAGAGTTTAGCTCCAACCTGCTTCAACACAGCTGACAGAAAATGTCTCGTATACTTAGTGAGAGCTTGATTAGCTCATTCAGTTGTGTCTAACTGGGGCTGGAGCTAAACTCTGCAGGACACAGATCCTCCAGGACTGGGTTTGGGCACCCCTGATCTACACTGTTTACATTTTCTGAAGGAAATTTAGATGTTGTGCTAATGGAAACAAAATCTCTTTCTTTCAGGCACATTCCAGTTTAGCCCTCCCGAGGCTAAAACGGCTGGCTATTACTATGCCGAGCCAGCGACAGTGTGGTCACTCGGGATTCTTCAATATGTCCTGATGTTCAAAAAATTTCCAGACAACCATGACCTCCTCAAGTTGAATGACAGAAATTTACACCAACACGGAAGGTCAAAAGGTGAGATCTTTACTTCAGCTAAAGATGGTTGTGTAGGACATTTTTAATGTCAATGAAAAAAGCATGTATAAACTTTAAGGTAATATTTACATGTATCTCTTCCTTTCTTTTTCTACACAGAATGCAGCGATTTCATCAGCGGTTGTCTGCAGACACTGCCCTGGTCTCGGTATAAGCTGAATGCACTTCGTGCCCATGACTGGTTTAAGGTAATTTTGAGGATTTTGTCATCAGTCAAATGAATCTGTCATGAGCTGAGTTTCCATCCTAATGTGAAGCACATCTTTTCAAAGTTCACTAAATATATTTATCTTATAATTATAAATGTGAATTATGAGCAAATGATTTTCATCAAGTTGGTCGAGCGGCTGAACTGTAGTATTGGTAACCTCGTAGCCAACGGTTTAACAAGGGAGGAATAATTGAGAAATGCTCGCTACATCAAACTTAATTTGACAAATGAATTCCCTTATGAACTCTTTTCACACGAGTCCAAAATGACCTCAAGTGAGCATAAAAACGTTTTGTGAATAAAGGGATTTTTATTTGAAACTTGTTCCTCATGTGATACTTAATAAAAGGTGCATTAACACAGGCTGATGGAAACCCAGCTAATGTCAGATGACAGTCTTGTGTTGTTAAGTTTCCTTTTTTAACAATTTTGTTTTAATTATGTTACAGAGAATTGTAAAAAAGATCTAGCATTTGACAAAGGACCACTTCCAGAATCTCCCAGTTCAGTGCTGGATTCGGCTAAAAACTCCAGCAGCTCCAACCAAAATAGAAGAAGCTGAGGATTTTGAGCCAACCACACCACCATAGTCCTTTAGCTAAACATAACTTTATCCAGAGAGCTGAACATAGTTTGGTCCTGCAGTGTCATAGCTCTTATTTCAACATTTACACTGGCTCTAATTAAAATTCATGTAAATTACAAAAATTATAAAAAATGATAAAGCACTTTACAGTTTAGACCTTCATATAGTGTACACAGCCCTTCTTACACTTTAATATCAGCTTTTGCTTTAACTCTTACACTTCCACATGCTAAAATAAAATGTATAATAAAATAATAAAAAAAAAAATCTCAGTCGTTCCCAGTCCAGGTCCATATATTTTGGGTGTCACTCTCTAAAAAATGTAATTTGAGCCAGAGGAGAGAGACTCCTGACCAATGATTACTGGGATCAACTGATATATATACAGGGTTTCCAATGAGCATTATCACTCACCAGCCAATCTGGCCACAAAACTGGAAAAAAAAAAAAAAAAATTTAAAAAGTAAAAAAAAAAAAAAAAAGAATTATAATAATAAAATTAAAAAGTGGAATTATTTTAATAAAAAAAAAATCAATAATAAATAAAACAATAAAAAAACTGCCCATATTGAAATATAAATCTATAACTGGCCATGTTTTTGACCAATCAGAAATTCTTCTAAAAACAACAAAAAAATAATAATAAATAAAACATTAAAAAAAAAGTAAGTTATGTTATTTATTACTCATCCTCATGTTCATCTTCAGAACTATTTTTACTAGTTTTATCTTTATCTTAGAGCTTCCTCATCCAGACTCAAAGTCTACAAAAACCTCCTCAAAACAGATCATATGCCTTCACATAAAACAAACTTTATTCAGTTTCTTCTCCTCAGTGTGATGATAGGGCACGCGTTCACAAGCACTGTGCAGTGACATATACCCCACTGGATGCCTGCGCGACTTCCTCTCTGACTTCCTCTCTTAAAAAATACACAGGCGCATCCAAGGTTATATGTCAGAGGCGCAACACGTGAACGCGTGCCCTATACTGACACTGAGGGAAGAAATTGTTGAATAAAGTTATTTTTGTTTTATGTGCACAAAGTTTTCTCATAGTCAGGAATCTTGCTGTCTATGAAGGATTAAGGAGCTCTCAGATTTGACTAAAAGATCTTCATTATTTTCAGTCAAATATCTTCATTTGTGTTCTGAAGAGGAATAAAGTTACGACCTTTAGTATTTGCTTTGATATTGTCCTCATATACAGCCTTCTTTAGTCTAATGTTTTGCTAACGTGCTATATGATTGATGGTTGGAGGACATCATTTATTGACTAGTGATTTTGTATGTAGTTGTAGTTTATGGTGAGTGATAATCCAAACCCTGTATATATAGGTGGCGAAGTCCGTTCCTCCACGTGGTGCCACTGGAAACTGCCCATCTTGAAGGTGGTGCTGAGCTGAACACGGACAAAAACTGACATTAGTCTGGGGCGACAAGCCTCACAACTGATGACAATTATCAAATTTGTTCTGAAGTTTGAAATAAAGTCACATTTGTCAAAAATAATTATTTCTTCTCTTTTTTAAAGGCTGATTACTGCTGATTACTGTGTGTTTCAACTGAGATCATTCAGGGACAAACATGACAATGTTTGTAGATTTAACAAAGATTAGCTGGATTTAATGTCACTGAGCTGAATGTGTTTGAAGTAAAAGCATACATGTGATTGCATCTGAGAACTAATGCACTGTAAAAATGCTTTCCTTCCCAGCCACAACCCAGCACCATGCTGGAAAACACTCATACACTCTCATTCACAAACACACTCATTCACTACAGCCAATTTAGTTTATTCAATTTACTTACTGTATACTGCATGTGTCTGGACTGTGGAGGAAATTGGTGCACCCGGAGGAAACCCACACGAACACAGGGAGAACATGCAAATTCCACACAGGCCCAGCCAGGACTCGAACCAACGACCTTCTTGCTGTGGGGTGACAGTGCTGACTGAGCCATCGTGCTGCCCCTAATTCTAGTTATATTATATTATGTTGTATTATATTTTATACCATTCTGCCAGCAAAGGGTTTGCTTCTGCTGCCTCACACTAAGGGAAAGCCCCGCAATTGACTGCTGAAGTTTTCTGTGTGGGGTGTCTTGATTGCCATGAGATGAATCTGGCATCCCTGTAGACGTAAAACACAACGAATCATCTTAGTGTTTGAATTTGTATTCTTTGATCAAATGTACTTTTAAGCTTACCACCAGTTGCCCATCACCGTGACACCACTTCATCTGTGCAATGTAAGTCTTTAATTCAGCTAGTCTTGCACTTTCTTCCAGGAGTCTCTGCCAAGTCTGATAAACAGTGTTATGCACAAATCAGGTATAAACGTACAGATAGCAGCAGGCCAAGTTCACACCACAAAACAACATAAAAACCTACCTTCAGAAATCTTGTGAAAACTGACCGATGTAGAGAGACTTTGTTTGTGATACCACCACATTGCATGCAATGTAAGTAATTCTACCGGTGTTGTAACAAACAAATAATACGTTAAGACCTAAAAAAATGAAGAATATTACAAACACTTTGATTACCTGCTTTGGCAGGCTGATCTCATCAGCATGTAGGTCTGTAGAGTTGATGATAACATTATGATGGCAACTGGCATATAGGTATTAGAAACCTGCCCAGCTACTGACCACATAAAAGGGGTTTCTTCGACCTGAAAGTTTCACTCGAATACAAGGGCAAAAAACAGTGTGCAAATGATGTTCTGGAGACAGAAACCTTCTGACCAGTTGACCGAAAAGAGAAAACAATAGACACAGCCGTGCTGTGAAACTGACTATTTGCGCTACTTTGGAGACAGGCAGGGCTCAGGAAACTAAGACATTTTGAGGTCTGTTACACCTGTTAATTTGCATAAACTTTTTCTCTTTGAGGTAAGTTAGGATTATCAAATTTGTTTCTGAATAGCAGAATAATGAGAGATTTTTTTTTTGAGAAATAGAAATTTTCTTGAAAGTCAAGTTTACATACAATAAGATTATTATGCTTCTGACAAAGCTGAGATGATGGTTTGAAGGTTTTGGAAGTTTCTGATTGGCTAATTGACAACATTTGAATTAATTGGAGGCACAATTGTAGAACAGTATTTAAGGAAAACCTCAAACACACTGCTTCATTGTGTGACAACATGGGAAAATCAACAAGCCAGAATCAACAAAAAAGCCAGATTACAATTTGCTAAGTTACACTGGGAAAAAGATTAATTTTTCGAGACATGTCCTGTGGTCTGATGGAACTAAGATTGTTTGACCATAATGACCAGTGTTACATTTGGAGGACAAAGGGACTACAGTTTAAAAGCAAAGCTAAAAAATATACCAAGAAAATGTAGGTAAACTTTTAAAATTAAGAGAATTTTGTTAAAAATCTGCGGATTTATGCGGAATGATTTTGGGAGTATCATAACTAAAAACCTAATATATTAAATAAAAATATTAGCTTTTTAACTTTTTTTAATGTCTACAATGCAGATCCAATTAGATCCATTTTATTTGGTAAACAAAGCAAGTCTCTCAAACTACTAAAAGGCAGAAAATATTACGTTAAAACTGTAAATAAATCATATGAACATTTTCATATTAGCTATTAATTATACTAAAATAAAAAAATGAATAAATATAAATTTACACATATTTGCACATGTAAATAAACAGAATCAATGATGGGCTAAATATCTGTGTAATTCTGCACGCGCAGATTCCGTGTGGGCCTAAATAATATAATAACACTAATACTGAAATGGTTAAGGCGTTTTAGAATGACCAAATCAACATTGCAGATGTTTTACAATGTGCTCAGCCTGCTGGGTAGTCCATTCACTCACATCTGTATCATCATTTGATCTCTTATAACAAAATCACAGTTTTTAATGCACATACTGGAATTTGTTTGGTAAAAGTGTTTCCATCGTATTTCATGCGCATCTTTTCTTATCGAATAAAAAGTTTATTCTACTCAGTTATGGCCATAAATTTTTATGCAATTAAAAAAAAAAACCTATGCACATCTTGCTGTTTCTATTAAACGTTTTTTATGGGCATATCTAAAATGCGCATAAAATAGGTGGATGGAAATGTAGCTACTGAAACAATGGCTTGCAAAAGTATTCATGCCCGTTTGAACTTGTCCACAATTTCTCACACAAACATAAATATATTTATTGGAATGTTATTTGAAATACTAACACAAAGTGGCATACAATTGTGATGCAGAAAGAAAATTATACACAAGTTCAACTTTTTTTTTTAAATAAAAACTGAATAGTGCAGTGTGCAAAAGTATTCAGCTCCCCTGAGTCAATTCTTTAAATAATATTCCACCTTTTGCTGCAATCCGCTTGTTAAGTGTGACGTCATGCGGAGCGGTTTCCGGGTCCAAGCGCTCTATTCAACTGAATGGGGAGATTCATGAAATGGTAATAATAAACGTTTACAAAGCGATTTAATACTTTCGAAAGTCACGATTGCAATATATATGTCCGTGCCTAATATCCAATGGCCAGAAAGTAATTCATTTTTTTATAAATTGTTAAAATTTTGGTATTTGTTATGCAGCAAGCCCAGAGATTGTTGTGTACACTATGACTTTATGTAAAATTAACTTTAATGTGTGATATGAATAAAAAGTGATCATAAACGAACAATTTCTCAACTCAAATGAATGGCGGCTTAGACCCGGAAACAGTATTACATACGTCACAAACACGTCAACACTTAACAAGCGGATTACAGCGGCAAGTCTTTTGAGGTATGTCTAAAGGTTTCTACTAGCTTTGCACATCTAGACACTGAAAACTTTGTCCATTCTTCCTTCCAAAACAATTCAAGCTAAGTCATGTTTGAGAAAATAAAAAATAAGCAGCTCAGCTCTCAGAACATAGTAAACATAGAAAGTGTATTTATGCACGCACACTATAATTTATTTGCACAGGCTTATCTAAAGTGTTAATGCTGCCAACTAATGATCAACAGTAAAAATGAAATGTTTTACTTCTTTCCAACAGGGAAAAACACCAACAATCCAGAATGCATGATTATTTGTTGTCAAGGCTTTAAAATCTAAATAATTCATTATAATGGAAATCAATGCAGCAAAAACAGCCACAAACAAAATGAAAGGGTAGTCAATCTGAACAGTACACAAGGGTTAACGTAGCATTTAACTGCAATCATTAATGTGCTTGTAAACATTACAAATGTATGCATCATATAAAAATATTGTACATACTTCACACTTGGTGGCATGGGCTCGAGCATGCATCACACTTAGGACAGGTTTAATAGTGATCAGCTCCTGGAGAACAGGCAGGACACCAGCAGCCATCTCCAATGGCCAATATATGGATTTGTATCTCCCCCCTGTACATATTTAGGGCTTTCATTAGGAATCAGTGGTGAC